GGATCTGTCTGGTAGGCAGATTTCAGAAAGGATGGGGGGAACTCTTTCAATTGGAGCCTCATAGAATTAACACATGGTGCACTAAAAAACTGAAAACTGGAGATGATGCCTATATTTTTAATGACTGTGTAGAGGGAATTTCAGGAGGTATTGCTTATCATATAACCAGGTAACAAGCAATACCTCCTGAAATTCCCTCTTCTACACAGCCGTTAAAGGTACAAGAGCCTTTTCCAGATTTGACTCTTGGCAACCTTATGGTGCACACACAGGAAACAGATGGATGTAGAAACACCCCATTTTGTAATCTATAGTTAGTCCTACTTCTGACTAAAAAGAATCATTCTGTAGCATTAGCACCCTATCTCTGAAAAGAAAAAAGGTTCAGCCAGAGAAAGGGAACCTGGACTGACTAGGGAGGGGGAATGCACCTTATCCAGGATGACTAGATATCCTCCTTTTCCAGGACATGTCCTACATTTCAACCTTCTGTCCAGGAGGAATTTCAAAATGTCCTCCATTCTGAGCATGCCTAAGCAGCATGGATTTATATTTACATGAGTGTTTTTAGCTTTTCTTTGGTCACACCCTCCATTTTTCTTGAATGCCCTATATTTTGCAGTGCTTGGTCCTCCTTTGTAGTAAGAGCTGTTTGACAGTGGAAGATACCGGTACTCCTTCGGAGAGTAATGGCGTCTCCTTCTTTGGAGGTCTTTAAACAGAGGACAAATAGCCATTTATTTGGGGTACTTTGATTGTGAGTTCCTGCATGGCAGGGGGGGTAGGACTGAATGGCCCTTGTGGTCTCTTCCAACTCTGTGATTCTATGATCAGGTTACCCTGACCTCACCTTGCATGGCAGGGTGATCTGTCCTCCTGTGCATACCACACACCATACCATGGAGTTAATCTACTTCAAGGAAAAACCTCACTCAAAAGAGGGAAAGGATGATAATAATAATATAATGAATTTTTATTTATAGCCTGCCCCTCTGCAGAGCAATCGAGGCGGGTTACATGATCAGATGTTAGTAATGAAAAGCTGTGCCAGTCATCCATCTCCAGATTGGACTGGGGCACAGGGCTTCAGAGGCTTCCTAATTCTTTATTTCAGCAATTGGATAATCTCTGCCCAGTCTTGGCTATGTAACCAATGCACTATTCACAGTAAAACAAGGCCCTGGAAACACAAAAGGTCAAAAGCACATTTCATGACAGGACAGGAAGACGCTCCATCCAATATATTGTAGTTTTTGGAAGAATTTGAAAAGCACACCAAATGGGGTAACTATCTTCCACCGCGGCTCTGGCAAACAAACAGATGGGGAAACTCTGCAGGCAAGGCATTTGACAGAGAATGGGTGTCCGTCCCCTCACTGCTTATACAACATCCCTATAGACATCTATAGACCGTGTGGTGTAATGGTTTGAGTGTTGGATTATGACTCTGGAGACCAGGGTTCAAATCCCAGCCCAGCCACGGAAACCTACTGGGTGACCTTGGGAAAGTCACATTCTCTCAGCCTCAGAGGAAATCAATGGCAAACGCCATCCAAAGAAACCTGTCAAGAAAACCCTATGATAGGTTTGCCTTAGAGTCGCCATAAGTCAGATATGACTTGAAGGCACACAGCAGCAACACAAATGTTTATACAGATGTGAGCCCCAATGGGCTACATCTCAAGTAAGCCTGTCCAGGAGTGTTGCCTTAACTACACATAACTCTAGACTATTCCCTTTCAAAAGATACACTGGTGCCTCTAAGGGCTTGAACAGACTGCCAAGAATAATCCGGTTTGAGACTACTTTAACTGCCCTAGCTCAATGCCATGGAATCATGGGAACTGTAGTTTATTGTGGCACCAGAGCTTATTCTGACAGAGCAGGGTCAATGGGCCTTTGCAGACTGCCAAAAATAATGCAGCTTGAGTCCACTTCAACTTCTAGGGAATAATGGGAACTGTAGTTTTTCTGAGACATTGAGCCTTCTCTGTCAGAGAGCTCTGGTGCCACAATAAACTACAGTTCCCATGATTCACTAGCACTGAGCGAGGACAGTTAAAATGGTCTCAAGCTGGATTATTTCTGGCAGTCTGTTGAGGCCCTAAGCCTCTTCTCCATCAGGGCTTGATCGTTCTGGCATTGTGGTTTGAACGTCAGACTAGGACTCTGGAGACCAGGGTTCGAATACTGGTTCAGCCATTTAAACCCACTGAGTTGCCCTTGGCAAATCATACTCTCTCAGCCTCAGAGGATGGCAATGGTAGCACACACACATACACACACACATACTGAAGAAACATCTCAAGAAAACTCCTGTGATAGATTCACCTTAGGGCTGCTGTTAAGTCGCAAATACGCCTCAAGTAAGCCTGTCCAGGAGTGCAGCCTTGTGTTTGTGTATGTTGTGTGCCTTCAAGTCATTTCCAACTTATGGTGAACTTAAGGCAACTCTATCTTGGGGTTTTCTTGGCAAGTTTCTTCAGAGAGGGTTAGCCACTGCCATCCTCTGAGGTTGAGAGAGTGTGACTCACCCAGTGGGTTTATCCTGGGGTTTTCTTGGCAACCACACATCACCATAGGTTCTCAAACTTTGGTCCTCTAGATGTTTGGGACTTCAGCTCCCAACATTTCTGACTGTTGGGGCATCTGGGAGTTGAATTTCAAAACACCTGGAGGACCAAAGTTTGGGAATCACTGAATTCTAGACGATTTCTTTCTAGGAGCCTCTATATGCCTCTCCTCCATCACAACCTCATCACTCCGGATAACATTTAAAGCCAAGTATGCCCAGCGTTTGTAGGCCCTGATCTTTTCCCCTCAGGCTGAGAGATTTCTTTCAAGGCTGCATTCCTTGGCTGGAAACATTTATAGCAGGGGTAGGCAACCTTTCCCCTTTAAGGGCCGAGGAACTTCAGCTCCCAGAATCCCAAGAGCTATTGGCCAACATGGGACTATTGGCCAACATGGCTGAGGCTTCTGGGAGCTGAAGTCCCTCGGCCTTTAAAGGGGAAAGGTTGCCTACCCCTGATTTATAGCAATATACACTTCATACTGAATTCAACAGTCTCTAAGGCAGTTTACAACGTGTAAGCTAATTGGGAACTCTGCCCCTAGCTGGGATCGAACTCACAACCTTATGACTGTGAGTGAGTGGCTGCAGTACCACATTTAACCACTACGCCATTAGGATGAAGTTTTTTTCGGACAGCTTTGGACCCCCCCCCCAATCAGGGCCGGCGTTTACCATTGCTGCCTATCCTCTGAGAGAGCGCCGAAGGTTGACGGTTAAACCGCCTTCCCGCCTCCAACTGCACGTGTCCTCCCCCTCCCTTCGCTGTGTCCCGCCTTTCACGTTCCTGCGCGGCGTCTGATTCGTCGCCCCTCCTTGGCTGCTTCACGTTGCTCGGGGTTCCCGGCTCAGGATTGGCCAGCTTCCTCGACGTCCAAGGAGGCAGCCAATGGCTGGGGCGGGCCCGCCCGAATCCAAGATGGCGGTCCCGGGGACTGGCCGCGACGGGGCCCGTGAAGGAAAGAGGTGAAGCGGCCTCGGCCGGAGGGTTTGGGCCCCGCCGCTCCGGCTCGGCTCTTCCTTCTTGGAGGCGGCCTCTGGCCCAGCTATGGCTGCGGAAAGCAGCAAGCAGTTCTGGAAGCGGAGCGCCAAGCTGCCGGGCAGGTAACTGGATGAGGGGAAGAAAGGAAGGAGCGGTGGGTCTCCTGAGGGCGGCCGGTTTGGCAACTCCTGGGCGCCGCCATTCATTTTTAGAGGGTGCTGAGGCGGATTAGTGCCCTCAGGGAAGCGAAGGAGGGTGACAGGACACTCTCTGGAGCCTCCTGAGGTGGAAGGTATTGCTCCCCTCATCTCTGCTTTCATACTTCACCAGACTCTAAATCCCAGGATTCCGCAGCATGGTTAAAGCGGTGTCAAACTGCATTCTTTCTGCAGTGCGGATGGTCCGGAATAAGTGTCGGACTTGGATTCTTTCTGTAGTGCAGACGCTGCAGAAATAATCCAGGTTGACAACGCTTTTAACGGCCGTGGCTCCATGCTGTGGAATTCTGGGATTTGTAGTATGGTGAGATGTGAAAGCAGAGATGATGGGAGCATTATATTCCTCCTCGGGAGGCTCCAGAGAGTGTCCTGTCACCATCCTTCTCCGCTTTCGCACTGCAGAAATAGTATAGTCTGAGACCGCTTTAACTACCCTGTCTCAATGGTAGGGAATTCTGGGAATTGTTATATTTGTGAGACATTTAGCCTTCTCTGTCAGTGAGTTCAGGTGCCACCATAAACTACAATTCCCCAACACTGAACCAAGAAAGTTAAAGCGTTCTCAAATTGGATTATTTCTGCAGCGTGTTTTGGACCCAGGTTGACAAGCTTTTAACTACCATGGCTCCTTGCTTTGGAATCCTGGGATTTGTAGTCTGGTGAGCTATGAAAGCAGAGATGAGGGGAGCATGATCTTCCACCTCTGCAGGCTCCAGAGAGTGCCCTGTCGCTGCCCTTCTCTGCATCCACACTGCAGGAATAATCCAAGTTGACTCCACTTTAACTGCCATGGCTCTATGCTATGGAATCCTGGGCATTGTAGTTTGGTGAGACTTTGTCAGAGAACTCTGGTGCCACCACAAACTACAAATCTCAGGATTCCACGGCACAGAGCCAACATAGAAAAGTCAGAAGTAGTCCTAACTATAGATTACAAAATGGGATGTTTCTACATCTATCTGTTTCCTGTAAGGTTGCCAAGAGTCAAAACTGGAGAAGGCTCTTGTACCTTTAATGGCTGTGTAGAAGAGGGAGTTTCAGGAGGTGTTGCTTGTTACCTGGTTGTATGATAAGCAATACCCAGGCTGACCATGTGTCCTCAGTGCAAAAGAGGAGAAGGCACTGCAAAATTTAGGACTTTGAATGAAAATGTAGAGCATGACCAAAGAAAAGCTAGAAACACTCATTGAAATGTAAATTCATGCTTCTTAGTCATACTCCAGATGGAGGACATTTTGGAATTCCTCCTGGACAGAAGGTTGAAATGTAGGACTTGTCTTGGAAAAAGGAGGACCTCTTGTTCCCCCTGTGCCTACCTGGATTATCTCGGCAGTGTAGATGAAGCTCTGGGCAGTTTGTGTCAGGCAGGTAGCCAGCATGGCCTAGTAGTGGTTTGAATCTTGGACTACAACTCTGGGGACTAGGATTTGATTCCCAACTCATCCATGAAACCCACTGGATGACCTTAGACAAGCCACACTCTCTCATCCTCAGGGGAAGGCAATGGCAAATTTCCCCTGAACAAATCTTGCTGAGAAAACCCCATGATAGGTTTGCCTTTGGGTTGCCATTAGTTGGAAATGACTTGTGAAGGCATACAACAACAACAAAGTAGCAGCACTGGTACAGAGAGTCGTACTTTTGACTTGGGGGTAACAGGTTCTCCTTTATTTGCCTAGGTCAATCAGTATGAATCTGGATATGCTTATTATGCTAATATGCATTGCTAAACACTTGGATTAAGTTTAAATGCAAAACCAAGTCGTTAGGACTATTTTAAAGTGCCAATGGGCAACCCTTTCCCTGTCACGCCTGTTATTAAGTTCAGGACATAAGCCTGATTTTACTTTAAAAAAACAACACCAAAACCCCACACCAAAATAGGAAGCAGAAGTCTTCTAGTGCAGGGTTCCTTTTATTAGTGTTGACCTCAGATCTCTATAGTGCTTCTTTCCAAAACAAAGGTCCAAAACACACTGCAAAAATAATTAGTTCGAGACCGCTTTAACTGCCCTGACTTAGTGCTGCGGAGAAGGCTAAATGTCTCACAGATCAACAGTTCCCAGAATTCACTAGCACTGAGCCAGGGCAGTTAAAGTGGGCTCAAACTGGATTATTTCTGCAATGTGTTTTGGACCTATGACATACTCTGGAGAATCAGTATGCAAAGGCATCTCGTAGTATCTTTCCTAGACTTGAGCCTACTTATGCATCTGAGGAATTAGGCTCAAGTCTACAAAAACTCATGCTACCAGCTTCTTTCTTTTAGTTCGTCTCAAAGATGCTACAAGATACCTTTACATACCGCTCCCAAAACAGGTGAAGTGGGAATCTGTGATATTTGAATTGTTGGGACAAGGCAGCCTATATATCCTTAAGGCACCAGATCCCTGACTGATCTTGAAAGGTAAACTGGGGTGGGTGGGTTGCAGACTGCTAGAAATAGTGCAAATTGAGTCCACTTTTAGGGTTAGGGTTAGAGAATCATGGGGACTGTATTTTATTGTAGCACCAGAGATCTCTGACAGAAAAGGCTTAATGTCTCAGAAAAAAAACAAAAAACAATTCCCATGGTTCCCTAGCACTAACCCTAACCCTAAAAGTGGACTCAGTTTGCACTATTTCTGGCAGTCTGCAACCCCCCAGGATCAGCCCTGTTAATACTTGCATAGGAGACAACCAACAAATACCAGGTGCTGTGGGTTATA